GTCAGGTCATCGGAACAGTGTTAATGTAGTTGGCCGCTCCTGTCCCAGCACTTGGGGTGCAGTGATGAGAATGACTGCATCCATGCAGAGGATGCCTCTCTGCTTCAGCTGATGAGGAGCACGCACAGACACACACACGCACACATGCACACACACACGCACACATGCACAGACACACACACACACACAGACACACACACACACAGTGGGCCCACTGCCTTACCCCAAACCTAGCACCACTGCTTGCCTGTGTGAAAGGGAGGAGGAAGTTAGAGACCAGGGATGGAAAGAAAGGTGCCCTGGTTGATTTCTAAAAACAACTAATGAGTAGTGGCTTTTCAACACTGAGAGAGGTAAAATGAAAAGAAAGCCTCTCCAGCCAGTGAGGTGACAGCTTGTAAAGGCCATCGGTCTGTGCCACCCAGCACTGCAGGGGTCAGAGGTGACTACAGGGCCTCCCTTGCTGCTGTCCTGCCTCTTTCTTTTTCTCTTGGGAGTTATTTATTGAACTTAATGGGAAGGTTTCAAGGCATTTTAACCATCCGGTTTTGCTAAATGAAATAAAAACATCAAAGCAGACTTTTATATTGGGGGTAATTTAATAGTTATATGCTGTTTATAGCCTGGACTACAAATAATTACAGAGTGCCTCAGTAGATGGTGCTGTAGAAATCCGACAATTGTTTAAAAAACTGTTGCTGCTGAGGACACGATGCTGTTACTTCATTCCTTGGAAAACGACTTCTCTGAATTTCTAGCTATTTCAGGGTTTGCAGTGAATCCAACATGTTGAATTATCACTTCTTTCATCTCTCACATTACCAGGAACTACTGTATAAACTTTTAAAGTTTAAAAATGGTACTAGACTGATTTTCTAATACTATGTTTTTGATGCTAAATATTGTAGAAAATATATTTTCAAATAGAATTCCCCTCAATATCTCTACCAGGGTTCCCAGATGTGTATGTGGTGTATGCCCAATGCATTTTCTCATTTTTATGGATGCAAAGCTTTCTCTAAACCCACTCCCATGAGTGTTACCACTGATGCCATCAAAACAAAAATTCTAAGCAGAAACATCAAGTTGACATGGAGATAAGAAAGGCAGAATATGAGGCAGCTGGCGACTGCTTTGTTTTCTTTCTATATGTGATTGCAGCATGGACCCAGAAACACAAAACAGGCACAAGTGCATGAAATGCCCATTCTACAATATATAATGGCGTGGAAATGACAGAGAATGATACGTGGCAAAACTTAGTCCTTCTGTATTACGCCAACCCTGGACTGGAGTTAGGAATCAAAAAATAAGCCTAAAGCACTTCCCCTTCAAAAGAGATGAGACTGTCGGAAGTCCTGTTTCTGTTTCTCTGAAGTTCCTGTCGCGCTGCATCACTGGGCTAGTTTCTCAGTGGAGAGAGGAAGTGGAGTGCGGGGGACAGCTGACAGCCGGCTCTGGGAGGAGTGACACTACAATGGGGCCCCATGCTGTTCCCTGTTCCAGCACAGCACAAAGGACGGCTCACCAAATACCGCTCAGTGACACTTTGTGCACCGTTTAAAAATCTTTAATTCAAATTTTTGGATTTGTTTCACAAAGATTTTTATTTAATAAAGGTGTTTTGGGGCTGGCACTGTGACACAATGGGTTAAGCCCCAGCTTATGGCACTGGCCTCCCAAATGAGCCCCAATTCAAGTCCCCACAGCTCTACTTCCAATCCAGCTGCCTGCCAACGTCCCACGTACTTGGGTCCCTGCCACCCACGTGGGAGACCAGGATGGAGTCCCTGGTTCCTAGCTTCAGCCTGGCTTAGTCTTTGCTATTATGAGCATTTGGGGAGTGAACCTGCAGAAATCGCGCGTGCGCTCTCTCCTCCCCTTTCTCCCCAGCTCTCTCTCTCTCATGCTGCCTTCCTAACAAATATTTTACAACAATGTTTTAGGTGCAAAGTGCTGTTTTAAGTAAGCTAGAAAAAACCGAGGTCTGAAGATCCCCCTTGCTCTTTCAATGTAGCTTTACTGTAATTGAATCAGAAAAGTTGGCTTAGTGGATTTACTGAGCTGTAGAAAATCTAAAATGGTAACAGCCATAGGTCTCACTTATTTAATGAATGCTCATTTTGTGTTTGATTTGGCGTGGAAAGGCTTTCTCCATCTTCCCATCTGTTCCTCGGAGCGATCCCGCAGGGCAGGTATCATTATCTGCTTCTCACCGAGGAAGAAGACAGGGTCAGCGAGTTCCCACAGTAGCTCAGCCAACCAGTGGCAGAGTTGGTGTTCAGACTGCTGCATCTGCACAGCCAGTGTAGCAAAACACACACCTTCTCTCCTCGGTCAGCCTGGCTGCGCAGAGCGCCCCACGCCCGCCGTTCACTCCCCGGGCCACGCACTTCTCCCTCTCCCTCCTCCTCGCTCTTTCCCTTTGTTTTCCCCTCTTCTCCTTCGCCGCCTTTTCCCTTCCCTGCTCTGTTGGGTTTTGTGCACGAGATTTCCCAGTCCAAGCTGCCTGGATCAGAGCCCGGCTTTGAAGCTCTCTGCTCCTGTGCGAACCTGGGACGCAGAGACTCAGCAGGGGAACAAAGCGGAGCCCACCCCCGGCGCGTCACGTGCGCCAAGCTTTGATCCCGGGCAGCGCTGTGAGTGGGCGGCTCTTCCCTGGACTTCCGGCCGGCTTTGCGAGCTCTCTGCTCTCTAGGCAATGAAAGGGCTCGGCTGAAGCATGCATGTGTCCGAGCGCAGAGCCGCAGTGCCACGCACAAAAGCCCCAAAGCAGTAACAACGGCCTGGCTGCAACGCCCAGCACGTGTTCAAGGAAATTAAGGAAATTCTTTTTGAGCCTGCCTCCTTTATTGCTTTTCTGATGACAAGAATAATGGCCATTTTTGCAAAAATGAAACTATCTCGGAATTTTAAAAACTGAAAACATCTCATAATTTCACTACTGTACTCCCACCTTAAACAGATAATCCCTAGTCATAGTTTTAAAGAAATTCCGATTTGTGAATTAGTCCTTCGAATCCCGCCTCTCTCTCTCTCTCTCTCTCTCTCTCTCTCTCCCTCTTTCTCTCCCCCTTTCCTGTGTGCGCCTTTGGTTTAGTGAGGATGAAGTGGGTGGTGGATCTTACACTTTTGCTCCCCCACTCTTTGTCGGGCTTGTTCAAGATGTGCATTGAAAGAGTAACAAGGCAGAGGGTACCAGCCATCCAAAACATGGCTGAGCTAATTAGTAAAACAAAACTAAAAAGCTGAATGAAGTGGTCACTCACCAGCTTTTATTGAGTTACATGTTGAGCACACAAAGTACCCTCCTTTAGATTGGTTTTGTTTTAATTTTGACCAATAAGTATGGCTAAGTTCGTAAATATGGGTGAAGAACTTAAAACGTGAATTTTATAGAGGAGGAGGAATTTTGAACACTTCAGGATTCGCATTCTAGCCGCCAAGGTTTATAGAGGAGGAAGCCAAGGCCCTGCGAGATCCCCTCCAGCTGGGTCTTGTCAGTGTTGGGGGTTTGCTCAGCCCCTCTCTTCAGAGGAGTTCTTCTTGCAACTGCTAACACTATTATTATACAAATTGAAAATATTTTTATTTAATTATTTATTTGAGATAGAGAATGAGCTCTTGTCCCCTGCAGGAGCTGAGGCTGGGTCAGAGCCAAAACCAGGAGGCAGGAACTCAGTCCAGCACTGCCGTGTGGGTGGCAGGGACCCATTCCTGAGCCATCACCTACTGCATCCTAAGAAGATGGAATTGAGAGCCTGAGCTGGGCCTTGAACCCAGGTGCTCCAGTGTAGGATGCAGGCATCTTAGCCAGCAAATCAAGCACGTGCCAAATGCCTGCCCCCGTTTTCTTAGTGTTTTGCAGTGTTTTTCCAGAAACCACCATGCAGTACAGATAACCAGCATTGACATTAAGTGTGCAACTTTTCCGACATCTTCTTAAATAGATGTAATAGGCACACCCAGTACCTGACATACCCTACAGCTTAGGGGTTATGAAGTCTGACTCTGGAATTAAACTGTGTAGGTTCAAATCCTGATTCTAACACGACTTCTGTCACTTTGTTTACATTACATGCCTTTTCTGAAGCTCCCTCCGGATTGGGAAGGAGTGTGACTGAGAGAATGTGTAAGGATGCATTATTATGGTGTTGGTAAGCAGTGGGATCATATGTCTAATTTCACATCATAACATTTTCAAACTATCATGAAAACATATCAGCACTGTTTTTTTCGTGTGTGTGGTTACATTATAATTACATTATAGGCTGTGCTGTCATGTATCTAATTGTTGAACTTGGAAATGAACACTGTGGGTCTAGGGAGTCATTTGTTCCGCTCAACCTTGAAAAATAGGGCTGCGTCCTGATGCCCATACCTAAAAAAGCTTGCAACCTTTAGTGCCGCAGAGTTTTGTCTGAACAAGAATTTAGCATTCTTTTCACAAATAGGCACAAGTCTGAGAAAATATTCAATTGCCAAACGTGTCAAGGAAATGATTTCAAAATGTATCTGTTGGGTGGGTTTCTGGGCTTGCAAGCTTATGAAACGCCTGTGCCGTTATCCTCATTTTCTACGCTATCACCCTTGATCTCCAAGTACTTATTTTCTGCCTTGGTAAGTGACTAAGTGTTCTGAATGTGTCACCGGGCCTGAGCGCCTGAACGTTCACATGACCGGCTTAATTAGCAAAGAAGAAAGGGCCATAATTCTGCCATCAGCTAGCAATAATGCCACAGAGGGGGTCCTGAGACCTTTTGTGATTCACATGCTCATGGCTTCTTGAATAAAGTGGATGACTGAGTATACTTATCGGAGTAAGAGAGATTATTAGCAGTGGAAGACACATTTGAACTTGCTGAAAGCGCTGCCTTTGTACACAGGAAGGCCTACACTTGGTAATTATTAGACCAGCTCTTTTCGTTTTATCCCAGCGGCTTTCCTTTTACATGCTTGCGAAGTCTGAATAGCTTTCTATTGCCTGTTAATCCCCACAGGAATGTGGCTTCGGCTACGGGGAGGATGCACACTGTGTGACATGCCGGCCGCACAGGTTCAAGGAGGACTGGGGCTTCCAGAAATGCAAGCCGTGTCTGGACTGTGCGCTTGCAAACCGCTTTCAGAAGGCAAATTGCTCCGTCACCAGTGACGCCGTGTGTGGGGACTGCTTGCCGGGGTGAGTCGATGGTTTCTTCCCTGCCTTATTTATTTAATTATTTTTAAAGGCATTTCTGTGGTTCCTTTCCAAACTCGCGTGCACACAGATATCAACCCCAAGACAAAGTAGAGTGATCGGTGCTTCTCATCTCAACATTCACCACTGGACTATCTGTGCCTGCCATGCGATGGACACTGGTTGTACATAAAATGAATAGGCGCACTAACAAAGGATCCATGTGGTGAAAATCTATAGAGTTCCTGCGAACGGATCAGTAAAAAAGAAAAATGGACGGGAAAATGAACAGGCAGTGCACAAAAGGAGGAGACATGTGTAACTATTGATCATGTGAAGACATTCATCCTCGTTAGCAATCAGAGCAGTGGAAACCACCACCCTGCAACCATGGCAGCAGATACGTGCTGAGCAGCTGCAGGGCTTTGCTGTAGTGCTTGGGATATCTCACAGGACAAAGTGGCAAAGATCCCTGCCCATGTAGGGTTTACATTCTAGTCGAGTCTTTAATAATAACTGATGAAGAAATAAAGTACACAGAAATGTGGTCACTGTGGGGGAAGAAGACAGCTGGAAGCAGAGGAGGGGATTAGACGGGCCCATGGTGATGAGTAGGCAAGCTGTTGTGTTGGATTTGGGAATGAGAGTCGGCTTGACTGCAAAGGTGAGATCTGAGCAAGGACTTGAAGGAGATGAGGCAGTCAGCCAAGCAGGTATGTGGAGGAAGAAGGTTGTGCATGAAGGAACATCCAGGGTGAGGCCCCAAGGTGGCCATGAGGAAGAAACTTCGAGAGGCCAAGGGAGTAGCAAAGGAAGGGAGGAGAAGAGAGAAGTGAGCAGGTGTGAGTGGCGAAAGCTGTCAATAGACTTTTTTTTTTTTTTTGACAGGTACAGTTAGACAGTGAGAGAGAGAGACAGACATAGAGAAAGGTCTTCCTTCCATTGGTTCACCCACCAAATGGCCGCTATGGGTGGTGCTGCGCCAATCCGAAGCCAGGAGACAGGTGCTTTTCCTGGTCTCCCATGCGGGTGCAGGGCCCAAGCACTTGGGCCATTCTCCACTGCCTTTCCGGGCCACAGCAGAGAGCTGGCCTGGAAGAGGAGCAACCGGGACAGAATCCGGCGCCCATGTGGGGTGCCAGCACCACAGGTGGGGGCTTAACCTAGTGAGGCACAGTGCCGGCCCCATCAATGGACATCTTGAATATCGAGCCGTATGAATCCTTCCGATAATCCAGACAACACGGCCCTTATCATACACAAGTTGCCAGTGATGTCTCCCATTCCGTGGGTTGTCTTCACTTCTTTGCTGGCATCTTTTGAAGTGTAGAGCTTTAATTTCAGTAAAGTCCACATAACTGCTTCCTTTTGTTGCCTGTGTTTAGGGGGTTAGACCGTGACTTTTTCAGCTCCATAGTTGTTGAGGCTCTGCACGAGGTCATGCCTGACCCGTTGTGCTGTCTTCCTCTCTGTTTGGAGGGAAGCACACCTGGGCCAGGGGAAGTGAGAAGCCCAGGAGGAGGGATGCTGAAGTGTTGAATGCTTCTGAGTAGCCACTGGGCAGATGTGCCAGATACAACAGACAGTGGGGGATGCTGGACAGGGGAGGAGCTGGGGTGGGGGAAGCCACCTATTCGCCTATTTGTAAGGGAATAAAGAGATAGTGCCATACTAGGGGGAAGGGAAAGAGATACAGCAGAGAAACTGATAACTTAATGATACAGCAGAGGGAGGGAAGGAGAGAGAGAGAGAGAGAGAGATATCTTTCCTCTGCTGGTTCACTCTCCAGATGGCCACAAAGGCCAAGGCTGGTCCAGATCAAAAACCAGGAGCCCAAAACTCCATCCTGGTCTCCCATGTGGGTGTCAGAGGCCCAGGCACTTGGATCTTCCTCTTCTGCTTCCTCAGGCACTTTAGCAGAGAGCTGGATCGGAGCAGCTGGGACTCCAGCCAGTGCTCCGATATGGTATGCCAGTGTTACATGTGGCAGCTTAACCCACTGTGCCACAACACTGGCCCCTACACGAATTATTTTTTAGAGTTTTTGGAAACTGGGCCTTATCAATTTTTAAGATTATTCAGGCAAGGTCACTGAGCCTGTATGTGGCGATGTTTAGGGTCATATTCAGGGAAGGTAACATCAGAATCTATGTCTAAGGTGCTGCAGACAAAGTCTCAAACCAGACTCAACCACCAGACTCGGTGGTTTTAATCTGATGTCCAGTGGGGCTCCTGTTGAGATCAGAGGGGGAGATGAAGACCCATGAGCCTGAAGGGAAGAAACAGGGTAGGAAATAGCTTAGTGGCTTAAGCATGATCTTGTGCATCTAAGAAACAGCAAAAGTAGTGTCTTCACACCAGAAACACAGGCAACAGAAGAAGCAGGAGCTATGTCGGACTAAATCAAAATGAGAAGCTCTTGTACTTCAAAGGGCACCATCACACGTGAAAAGACAGCCCACAGAATGGGAGAGGATATTGGCAGACCATGCATCTGATAAGGGAATATCTTATCTAGAGTACGTGAGCAAGTCTTACAGGTCACTACTGAAAAGACAAATATCCAGTTAAAGGATCTGAGTAGACAAGTCTCCAAAGAAGATACACAAATGGCCAGTAAGCACATGGAAAATAGTGTCATGAATCATCAGTGCTATGCTAATTGAAATCACACGTTTCATACCCACAAAGATGGATATGGTCCAAAAGGTAACAAAGCAAGTGTCGACAAGGATGTGGAGAGACTGGAACCTTTGCACACTGTTGGTGGGAACATGAAATGGCATAGCCGCATTGGAAAACAGTTTGGCATTTCCACGGAAAGTCAAACATTGAGTTACCTTGTGACCCAACAGTTCCACGCCTAGATATATAACCGAGAGAACTTGAAACTCCTGTGCACACAAAACTCGTACGCTGATGTCCATAGCAGCACTCTGCATGAAGACTGCCACAGTTTGTATGTGTCTCTTCAACAGTCGCCTGTTGCCAGTGTCAAAGGCCAAAGCCGTGGCCTTGAAGAGGGAAATGGGTCTTGAAGGTGCCTCCCCTTCATAAGGGGATTAGGCACCTAATTTATTGTGAGTCCCTTCTGGGTCCTGCCACCTCTGCCAGAGACGCAGCAGGAAAGGTCTCGTCAGATACCAGGTGCTGGTGCCCTGATCTGGGGCGTCCCAGACCCTAGATAGAGCCCTGAGAAGTAAACTTGTGTTCTTTGTAAACTGCCCACCTGTGGTGTTCTGTCTCAGCACAAAACACTGAGGCCTGCCTACCCATGTGGCCATCAGCTGATGACGATTGGGTCAACAAAGCAGGGTGTATTTGAACAATCAAATATCAATCTGCAAGAAAAAAGAAAGAAATTCTGGCACGTGCTACAGCGTGGTGAACCCAGAAAGCATGCTAAGTGAAAGCATCAGGTCACAGAAGACCGGATCTGTGATTCCATTTGCATGAAATGTCCAGAATTTCTCTCTAGAGACAAAAGATAAATTAGTGGTTGTTCGGGGCTAGGGTTTGGCAGGGCTGGGAAGAATGGGGCGGGTGGTAGCTAAAGGCTACAAGTTCTCCTTCTGTGCTAAGACTGACCCTGGTGATGGTTTCGCCACTGAGAATATACTAAACGCCGTTGAATTGTACACTCGAGTTGGGTAAATTGTGTGCCTTGTGAATTGTATCTAAATACATGTGTCATTGAAGCCAAAGCACTGACCTATAATCTCAGACCTATGTGTGATGGCATTTATGAGTGTCATCACCCAGTGTTTAGATCTTGTGCAAATTCAAGAATATGAACTGAAGATCTGACCCAGCTCTGTTGTTTCCTGTAATTCTCTGATGAAAGTGTGTATGTGTGCACCCTCTTCGTCTAGGGGGTGGTAAGAAGAGGAGGTGCATAAGGGGTGCATGGGCTGAGGTAGGCAGTGCCCGAGAGAGTGGGGGAGGCAGGACCCAAGGACTTGGCTTTTAAAAGCCACGAGGTGGTGTTTGGTGCAGCAGTTAAGATGCGACTTAGGAGGCTCTCGTTGCAAGCTGGAGTACCTTGCTTGGATCTGAGTCCTGGCTTTGCTTCTGATTCCTGTTCCCTACTAGGAGGCAGTGGAAATGGATCAAGGACTTGGGTCTCTGCTGTCCACATGGGAGATTGAGTTCCAGGCTTCTGGCTGCAGCCTGGCCCAGCCAGGGAATGAACCAACAGATGAAAGATCTATGTCTGTCTCTGTCCCTCTCTGCTCTGTCCCTCTGCCTTTCAAGTAAAAATAAATAATTAAAGCCAAAGCTTTTTTTTTTAAAAGGCACCTCCTGGGCTTTTTCCAAGAGTGTGTGCTGCTGGGATAGGAGAGACAGGGCTCCCCAGGGGCCGCCCACCACACATGGTTCCGTGTGCTTAACCCCTTGCATTGACATCCGAGCCTGCGGCTTTAGTTTCTACAGTATTTGTTCATTCTTTAAGTAAACACTTAGATGCGGGAAAGTTATAAATGAATAGACATTTGAGTGATGTGTCACAGTTTATTTATGTGATTAGTTTAAAGTTACATCCTTTCTGAGCCAGCTTTAATGTATGAGGCAGTTGATAATTATAGAGTGACTTTTACCCAGGTCTTTCCAGAGTGTTTTAAAAATACTCTCCCAGCTGGACTATGTTGCTGTAACAGAAGGCAAACAGTTGAAACCCATTTCACAGTCAGGAAAACTCAGGTAGACAGAAAAGGAACAAAATGCACATTGCTTCCAGGGAGATGATGGCAGAGTCCAGTGTGATGGCGGCTTTGTGATTTCTGATGTCTTCTTCAGCCCCAGCCTCCTCTCACAAGATCTGCTGCTGCTGCTGCTGCTGCTGCTGCTGCTGCTCAGAAGTTCAGGCCAACAGAGTACCAGCTGCCTCCTTCCAGGCAGCAAGGAAGGCCTCTCTGTGCCCACAGTCTGCGTGGTGAGAGAGAGAGCAAGGCCCTGTTCAGGGATATGTGCAGTGACCCTGGGCCTGGTACCTGCTACCCTGA